TGAACCCACTTAGACGTAACAGATTATTATTTCAAAAAAAAATATGCTTGTTCATTCATTCAGTCATTTCTGACTCTTCGTGACCTCATGGACGAGCCCACGCCAGAGCTCCCTGTCGGCCGTCACCACCCCCAGCTCCTTCAAGGTCAATCCAGTCATTTCAAGGATGCCATCCATACATTGTGCCCTTGGTCGCCCCTCTTCCTTTTTCCTTCCATTTTCCCCAGCATAATTGTCTTCTCTAAGCTTTCCTGCCTTCTCATGATGTGGCCAAAGTGTTTCATCTTTGCCTCTACTATCCTTCCCTCCAATGAGCAGTCGGGCTTTATTTCCTGAAATATGGACTGGTTGGATCTTCTGGTGGTCCAAGGCACTCTCAGAACTTTCCTCCAACACCACAGTTCAAAAGCATCAGAAGTAACAGATTATTATTTCAAAAGAAAAATGTGTGAATATTCAAAACTGAGTCTTGAATATTTATATAATAATAATAATAATAATAATAATAATAATAATAATAATAATATATTATTACATCACACAGTCCTAGTTGCTTGGGAATTGTTCAACTTGTGATTTTGTGATACAAAATCCAACATATATATCTCATTTGCTGTGACATACTGTGTTTTTGTGTCAGTAAAATAAATATTATTCATATTATTTAAAATACAAAATTTTCCATGATAATTTTAAAAGGGAGATGACACAGGAATCCCATTTCAGGTGATATCGTCATGTTGTGTACGATATTTTTCCATTTACAGGCATTATTAAGAAATTAAACATAAGATATTTTATTATCCTTGTAGGAGTCCTGGGGGCACAAAATGTATTACTCTTTCTCTAGCATTATTATTCAGAAGTGTACTAGAACCATAGAACCATAGAGTTGGAAATGACCTCATGGCCCTTCCAGTCCAACCCCCTGCCAAGAAGCAGGAAAATTGTATTCAAAGCAGCCCTGACAGATGGCTATCCAGAGTCTATTTAAAAGCCTCCAAAGAAGGAGCCTCCACCATGCTCTGGGGCAGAGAGTTCCACTGCTGAACACCTCTCACCATTAGGAAGTTCTTTCTCATGTTCAGGTGTAATCTCCTTTCCTGTAGTTTGAAGCCATTGTTCCGTGGCCTAGTCTCCAGGGCAGCGGAAAACAAGCTTGCTCCCTCCTCCCTATGACTTCCCCTCACATATTTATACATTTATACTAAGTTATCAAACTCTAAGAAATGTTAAAACAGTGGCTGACACTGAGCCCTTCCAGGAATAATAAACGTTGCCTGCAAAATATCCAAACCATACTTGGGAATAAGCTGCACTGTTCATATAAAAGGCACTTCATAGTGTACATTCTGCTTTTAAGAGTCTTCAAACTAAAGGATATTGAAATGATAATGGAAGGAAAGAGATTATGCCAAATATCTGCATAAATAACACGCCAATCTTGAGTTCTCTTAAAAACACAGTCAAGGTTGCTACCACTTGCTACATTGGAATCCATTGTGCACAAATCAAAAGTGAGGTTGAAAGTGTAAACTCACAATGTGAAGGGAAAAAAATCATATATTTGATCAGATCAGACTTCGTTTAGGAGAAAGACAGGGAGAAAAGAATGATTGTGGTTTTTTACTTTAAAAAGGCAGAATTTGAAATTCTGGTTACCTGAATTTTTGGTTAACTGCATATTTTAGACCACTAGGAAAAAGTAAGGAAGGAGAAAAACAGTAATGGAATAATGAGAAAAATGAATGTATTACTGTTGAATAGCTTTATTTATCTAGACATCTGTTTGAGTTTCAAGCACAGAAAAATATGAATCACCAAGAACCTTCCTTTGCTATATGGAGTATATTTTAATGATGCTGAAAATAGAAGAACAAGCCAGAGGAGACATTACTCAGGTTCTTGTACTGTGGCAACATGGAAGAGGAGCCACGGTGGCGCAATGGGTCAAACCCTTGTGGTGGCTGAACTGCTGACCTGAAGGTTGGCGGTTCAAATCCGCAATATGGGATGAGCTCCCATCTGTCAGCTCCAGCTTCCCATGTGGGAAAATGGAGTACCTTTAGCTCAGGGTTGGGGTCCCGAAAAACAGTAAAAGGTTTTTCGGGACCCTAGTGTCTGTTTTCTAAGGACCTCATCACACTAGAAAATGAATCCACTTTAAATCCGGTTCCTGCCTCCTGCAGAACTCTGGGGTTTGTAGTTTAGGGAAGAGCCTTTAACGGCCTCCCTAAATTACAAACCCCAGAATTTTGCAAGAGGCAGAAACCGGATTGAAAGTGGATTCATTCTCTAGTGTGATGAAGTAGTTAGACATTTACACGAATCTGTTGTGCAGTGTTTACAGTGGACTCTGCAGAAGATGCTTCAGCTGTACTTCATAAAAAGGAAGATCGGGCTGTTTAGTAAGGCTTGCAAATGCTAATTTGTTATCAGTAAGGGCCCTTCCCCACAGCCATGTAACCCAGAATATCAAGGCAGATAATCTACAATATCTGCTTTGAACTGGATTATCTGAGTCCACACTGCCATCTAATCCAGTTCAATATGGATTTTATGCAGTTGTGTGGAAGGGCCCTAAGTGTTTGGTTTTTATACCTATTTTCTATACCTAGGATCACATAAACATATCTTGGGCTGAAAGGGATTACAAATGGAAAAGTTTAAGAAGCCCAATCATCATCATCATCATCATCATCATATTTATTTATTCCCTGCCACCACCTCCCAAAGGGACTCAGGGTGGCTCTCAAAAAAACTCCAGAGTGCCACACATAAAATAAACAATACATAAGCATAAAAACAATACCAACATAAAATTCCAACTGGAAACACAACGAACGCACTTTACATCACTGCTATATATAATCTCCTAACAAGGATAACCAAAGAAGATGAGCTCCCCCTGCCAAGGCTGCCACAGAAAGAGGCATTTCTTTATATTATGAAGCTATCAACTATGCTTAACTGGATGGTGTTAAGGCAGCAACGGTCCTGTGAGCCTAACAAGGGGAACATCTCCCTGCTCCAATTAATATTCACTTTCTTCTAAACACATTAAAAATAAATTACGTGGATGTATGTTGTGTGTTTGTAGGGAGAGATACTGCCATGCTTCACCTCAGTACTGAATGCTCGTAACTGTAGTATTGAATTGAAATTGAGGTCTGCAAATATTTTGTTGTCCTTGGCAACATTTCTAACCATATAATTTGAAATGTTGAACAAAAACCACCTTTCGATATACTTTAGTTTTGATGACAAATGCCTTTTTTAAAAAGACACTAACACTGGGGAAAACATTCAGACGTGAGGAAGTAGTTTCCTTGTCACTGGATTTGTATTTTCTCCTTAAGAATCTTTACTGCCACATTGTGTTTATTGCTATGTTCCGGCTGTTCTGTACAGATCATGTACTATTCCATCACACCAGGGAGTTAGGGAATAATATGTTTTATGTGGATCATTGATAATTGAAAACTGGCAAAAAAACACTGAAGAGTGGATGTTTATCCTGTCTCCCTTTTGCACCGCTTACCTCACAGAGATTTCTTTTTCACTTTTAGAACAGTTTCTCACTTTCTTTCCTTTTCCAAATGAAGTCATCAGAAGTTAAACTGTGGTGTAATTCACAGTGTAAACAGTGGCATGATATCAAATGGTACTGCAGAGTTATGAGAGTCAGATTCCATGGCCATAATAATATTTGTAGAGTCAGAAAAATAATAACCTTGGAGAACATTTTTGGGGATCAACAGTTAAGTAAGATGCTTTGGAGGTGTTCTTTCAATTGTTTGGCTTTGTCTACTATAGTTGTAACTGTGCCTTGTGGCAACTACAGAGGAGATACACAGTTGCATCTGCAGCAGTGATGGTTACACAGAAGTGTGACAGTTGCATTAAGGCAGGCCTGCACAACATACATACTGAACAAGCTGTTGGTGCGTCCCACCAAGCACTTGCTCGCTCATGGCTTTCCCTTGAGGGAGAGAGAAAAAGGAAGGAAGGAAGGAGGAAAGGAGGAAATGAGAAAAGGACAGAAGGAGAAAAGGAAGAAAGGGAGGAAGAAAAGGAGGGAGGAGAGGAAGAAGGGAAAAATAAAGGGATAACTAAATAAAGGGAGATAGGAAAAAGAAGGAAGGAAGGAAGAAGGAAAGAAAGAAAAAGCAAGGAAGGAAGGAAAATGAGAGGGAAGGAGGGAGGGAGAAAAGGAAGAAAGAAAAGTAGGTAGGAAACAGAGGGAAGAAAGAAAACTTAAGTGAGAAAGAAAGTTGTGTCAGGAAAAAAGGCAAGGAGTTCAGAAAGTGTGGTGTTGTGGTTTGAAACTTGGTCAGTGGGTGACTTTAGGCAAGTCACACTCTCTCAGTCTCAGAGGAAGACAAAGGCAAATCCTCTTTGAACAAATCTTGACAAGAAAACTGTCGCCTTAGGGTCACTCTGAGTCTGAAACAAAAACAACAACGAGCCTAATTAATTATTGATTATACCCTACTTGGAAAGTGAGATACTAAAAACCTATTTTCAGCCCCAAGGTGCTTAGCCTATCTAATTTCCCCCCTTATTACTTCCAAGTTATTCAGGCCTGCACACAGTGGCAGTTTCTGAAATCTGCATTTTGCACCTAGTGTGTGTAATTTATTCTATCAATCTTTTTTTACAGTTGTTATGCAATGTAGCCTATTGTATGTATGCCATTTCTTTTGGTCCATATAGAGTAGACCTGTTCAGTCTAAGGGCCCTTCCACACAGCCCTATATTGCAGAATATCAAGACAGAAAATCCCAGTTCAAAGCAGATATTGTGGGATTTTCTGCCTTGATATTCTGGGATATAGGGCCACGTGGAAGGGCCCTAAGAATCCTACAGTAGTTGTGCAGGAATTCTACAGAGCTTTGTAAATGTTTACACTGACATGAATGCAGAAGCTAAGTAGCAAACAAGGAGCTTAATTATCATATCATGCATCCTTCATGTACTGTTTCCAAATTCTCCTGCAGGCCATGTTTGAACTGGTCACTTCAGAAGCATCATACTACAAGAGCCTGAATTTGCTGATATATCATTTCATGGAAAATGAGCGATTGAAAAAGATTCTACATCCCTCAGAGGCTCACATCCTGTTTTCCAATGTCATGGATGTTATGGCAGTCAGTGAACGGTAAATCTTTTAATGACTATTAGAAGTAGGAAATTTCCCATACTTTCTTTCTTCCCCCCTGTCTGTCACAGTGCATTAATGTTTTTAACTTCTCTAGATGACTGTGTGTTATTTTATTGTTCCACCTTTGATATCATAAAGAGATCCACTGCTATCCATAATTACTATACTGTTTCAGTATAGTAATTATGGGCAATGGTTCTCAACCTGTGGGTCCCCAGGTGTTTTGGCCTACTACTCCCAGAAATCCCAGCCAGTTTACCAACTGTTAGGATTTCTGGAAGTTGAAGGCCAAAACATCTGAGAACCTACAGGTTGAGAACCACTGCCATATGATTTATTCACAGAAAGTCTTCATTTACATCTGAAGCAATTCAATACCACCATCACACCTCCTTCCAACCAGGTAGAAGCCACTGTGAGAACGTATCTCTGTTAGGTGAAAGAATATAAATTGCTTGTTTGGTCAGTAGGGTTGCCATTTTAAATATATTATTACATATCCTAACTGGATAGATTTGCCTGGTGATATATAGGACAGGGCTCTTGCACTATTAATTGTCGCATAAAATCAGTAATTGTCTAGAATTTCCCTCTTCTACACAACTGTTAAGGGTACAGGAGATGTCACCTTTATTTTATCTTTGCAGCCACAATGGCCACTATGTTTTATTTAATGTTACAATTATGCAGACTTGTCTATTTCTAGTTGCTGCTGCAGGTTTTTTTGAGGTTTTGGTTCAGAAGAAGGATTTACTCCTCCTCTAGAATGCACATCTATATAAATAAAAATGTAATGTTCGTTTGTGGGATTAACACAACTTAAAAACCACTGGACAAATTGACACCAAATTTGGACACAATACACCTATCAGGCCAACAAGTGACCATCACTCATAAAAACACTGAAAAACACAGCAGAAGAGACTTAAATAGCCAAAAAACTAAAATTACAATGCATGGCAAACCCATATATATATACACACATATACACATATATACACACATATACACACACAAAACATATACACAGACTGGGCCCAGCAATGTGTGGCAGGGGACGGCTAGTCAGGATATAAAAAGATATATACAGATGCCTAGCTGTGAATTGTGATTAGTTAGGAAAAGTTATTTTTTTTAAACTCAGGCTCTCGTAACCTACATGGACCTTGGGCCAAGTTGTTGGCTGACTCAGAACTGTAGTCCAAAAATGTTATAATATTGTCTCTCCTATTCACTTCTTTCAAAAAATAATATTCTTTATGTTGTGGCAATTTGGTTAGTAGACAGAGGCCCAAAGAAGTAAGGGGAAAGGAGAACATGCAGTTCTTAATATAACCACTGTAGTGCTGATGGGTTTTTCCCCCCAAAGGAACTAAATGAAAGGAGAGCCTGTCCCTTTAACAGCTGCACGACAAACAACATTTGTTGAAATTGCCTCTCTACATAGCCATTAAAGAAACAAGAGACTTGTTATGTATTTGCTCTAACAACCCTAATATTTTCCAGAGTTCTGTTACCATTTTACCTGACAAATTTTATACAAATTTTACCCCTTTCCAAGGTGGCACAAAAAAGATTGATGCTCACACACTTTCAGATCATACATTAATATTTTATTTATTTACAGTATTTATATTCTGCCCTTCTCACCACAAAGGGGACTCAGAGTGGTTCACAGAACACATACATGGCAAACATTAAATGCTGTTATACACTGACAAGGCAGACAACTGTACATAGATAGAGGTATAGATAGAGATATAGATAGGCTTTCCCCATTTTCTGCATCTTGGAGGTTGTGTTCAGTTTTGCTCATAGGGGCGGGGCTGCTATCACACCATCTTCCCCTAATAAAGGGCTGAGAATTGCGGTATATAAGCGCAGTAAATAAATAAATAAATAAATAAATAAATATACAGTATATTATTATTATTATTATTATTATTATTAAACTTTATTTATACCCCACCACCATCTCCTCTCAGGGACTCTGGGTAGCTAACATGAGGCCAAGCCCAGCAAATACAATAAACAAGATAAAATACATACAGTAGATAATAACTCAAATAAAATACAAACAATAAAAGCAAATAATGCAGTGGGATAAAACACAGGGTATAAGTTAGGGAAAAAAGTTAAACCAATATTTTATTCATGATCAGAAATTCAGAACAGACAAAAGGAAATATTTCTTTAAGCGGCATCATTTTTAGAGGGTATCATAAGATATAGTGATGGCAACCAGTATTTAGAAAAAGATTGCTGATTAACATTGGTGGAAAGGGGCATTGCACTCATGTCCTGCATGTAGGCTTCCTAAAATCGTTTGCCTGGCCACTGTGTGAATGGATGCTGTCCTAAGTAGGCAGTTGCTATAATCTTTGTATGTTCTTATTACAAAATTAATTTTAGACCAATACTGAACTGAAGTAAACCTAAAGTAGAAAACAAGGCATCGGGGTTTTGTTTTTTTTTTGGTTTTTTTTAAACAACTTTCATTGACCTTTTTGTTATTGGTGTCATGACATAGTACAGTTGCTGACACACACACATATATATCTGCATGCATATTCTATTTCTAATCTGTACATATGCTGCTTTTTCATGGAGGTGAGTATATGACTAGCATCCCTCCTACACCTAAACAGCATTCCTGGAAATCAGAGACATTTAGCTAAGTTTCAAAGTAGAAATCAGAGATTTCTATTCACATACCTCCACGGGAAGGAAGTAGAAAAACAATAAAGGATTCATCATGACTTGTCTATACATACAAGAATGCTGACCTTTCTCCCTAGTAGGCTGTCATGCTGAATAAGTTTCTCATTGTCCCTTAGTTACTAGTATGTCTCATTCTTAACAGCCAGTCCAAAGTCAGATATCTCTGCTGGTATTGTACAATCTACCAGCCAGGATTCTTCCATTCAGACAGAATGAAAATAATTGAACTTATCACAAAATATCCATGGATTCCTTTACAGTTCCTGAAATAAGTTTAAATACAATAATTATTTCTGTATTTCTTATTTAGATTCCTTTTGGATCTTGAGAAACGGGTGGAAGAGAACATTGTGATCTCAGATGTCTGCGACATTGTTTATCGTCATATCGAAAATTTCTCGGTGTATGTCACCTACGTCTCCAACCAGACTTACCAGGAGAGAACTTACAAGCAACTTCTGTAAGTGTAATAATTTCTTCAAAGGACTCCACTGCAGCAGACCACACAGATATCTAACAATGGCCAAATGCTTAAGCACATATGAAGGTTTCTCTGCACCATTGTTTCCTCGGAATTGAGTTTTTTCTCCAAAGCATAAGTAGGTGCTCAAGCGATAATGCTATTTCATACTCGCACAGAGACGAACAACTAGGCAGAAAGCTCAGGATTGGTACTGAATGAGTTGAGGATTATTTCTATCCTTTAGCCTGCCCTGTTCAATGAACTGTAGAAATTTGACTATTGTACGAGGACTCTGGAGGACAGGGTTCAAATCCATGCTCAACCATGAAAATCCTTCAAATCACACATTCTCAGCATTAGAGGAAGGCTTATTTATTTATTTATCGTATCAGAAGTGAACTGAGGGTACAGTTGTAATGTGTTTAAAAACACAAAGTTTTAAAAAACTTGGCATTATACTAAATGTCCTTTGAATAGTAGCTGGCCACTTGGAGTGCCTCTAATGTTGTTATAAGAAGGTCCTCCTTTGTGCATATGGCAGGACTTAGACTGCATTGTAGTAAGTGGTCCGTGGTTTGTTCTTCTCCACAGTCTCATGTCGTGGACTGTGAGAAAATAGAGAAAGGCATAATGATAACAACAACCATAGCTAGCCTTCTGAATACATTTTGTTAAGAAAACCCTATGATAAGGTTGTTGTAAGTCGGAGTTGACTTGAAGGTAGAAAACAAGAGCAATATGTGTGTTCTGTAGAATAATAATAATAATAATAATAATAATAATAATAATAATAAGCATCATCATCTTTATTTGTTTTCCGCCCTATCTCCTAGACTCAGGGAAGATTCTAATCACAAAAAGGCAAACATTCAATGCCTGAGTACGACAACCAATACATACATAATAGCAGAAATAATAAACATATAAAACAAATTATAACTTAATATTTAAATTAAAATAAAATCAGAATCTATCACATAAATTATGACAACATAAAAACAGAGTCTGACTCTGTACCACCTTTACAAATACTGCTACAATATACTTGGAGATTATGTCCAACTGTTATATATGATGTACTCTGCTGGATGAAAGCTATGGATGAAACCATCACCATAAAAAGGAATGTGGTATGGCATTATTACAGTTTCCCATGTGTATTTTGTAGCTTTCTGTAGATCAGGGGTATTTCAGTACACTTCGGTGGATACATGAGATGTACAATTAGTGATTTCTACAATTTCTTTTTGTGAAGGAGCTTTTTAAAACATTTTTCAGAACATCAAAAAGCATTAAAGTGCCAATCTATTACTACGTGCTGTCTAATTTAAATTTAATTATAGTTGTTTTCTGCTTGTGAGTGGCATAGATGTGTAGGCTTTACAAATGAGATTTCCAAATGCTGCTTGGATTTCTTGGGCATATTTTGATGTAGATGGAAAATGCGAGTCTGCATGATGTTTAGAAAAAGGTTAGGAAACATTTACCTCTAGTAAAGATTTCTGTACATGTCAGAAAATTTCCATTGATCTCAATATTTCCTCTATTGTTCATGCTTATTTTGGACATTGTATCTTATCTCAGAGGTTGAGTAGGGTTTTAAGCTATTAAACTAAGGGAGTTCTGGTAAACTGGGAAAACTAATTGTGAAGATGTAGTAATTTTTACCTTTCACTTTATAACTTACATAATACACAAAGAGAAAGAAAAAACAACCCTTTGAAAGTTCAGTTTGGGGTTTGTGAAGTGATCCTGAGCAATTAGATTGAATAGTATTTAATAGGAATGCTAGGAGCCTGCCACTATCCTGTTTCTAGTGTCCTCCCTACCATTCCATCCCTTTCCACCCAAAGATAGACAATTTCCTTGTCATGCTATAAATGTTTTCTTGTCATGTATGTAATAACAAATAATTGCTTAGTAGGTTGTTGTAGATTTTTCAGGCTGTATGGCCATGTTCTAGAAGCATTCTCTCCTGACATGTCACCTGCATCTATGGCAGGCATCCTCAGAGGTTGTGAGGTCCTCACAAACTCTGAAGTTGCCTGCCATAGATGCAGGTGAAACATCAGGAGAGAATGCTCCTAGAATATGGCCATACAGCCTGAAAAACCTACAACAACCCAGTGATTCTGGCTATGAAAGCCTTCGACAATAAATTGGTTAGTATCTATTAGAAGTCTGTGATTATAAAGGCTGGACATTAAAATTGCCTTAAGCTTGAGGAAATTTTCATGTAGTTCTCACATTGTTGTTAGCTGCCATCAAATCAACTTCAAGTTATGGTGACCCTGTGAATGACAGGCGTCCAAGTCCACCTATAATCAGTAGGACATCATAGGACATATTATTTTCCTTGATGTTTGACCTGTAATCAAATGTATATAGTGCATGGTTATGTTCCTGTTCCCAGATACATAGTCAATTTATATTCCTATTGCCAGTTTCATTACCTCCATCCTCTGCCTCAGAAAAATCCATTTTGTGGCTTAGCTGAGTCTTACTGGGAAAAATCCACAACAGCTATTGCTTTCTATGACAATTCTTTAGCTGATCTCAGGTTCTGTCCTGAGTTTTCTCATGCTAATGCATGATAATAATTTAATATTGTCAATAATTTGTTAATAATTTTATTTCTGAGTTTTTATTTTACTTTAGTTATGAACAGAACATTATTTCACATGGGTACCCATTTTCATAGTATCATAGTTGGAGGAAACCACAAGGCCATCCAGTCCATGCCCCTGCCATACAGGAACACACAATCAAAACATTTTGTCTATGTCTGGGAGGAATTTAAAAATCACAGACAAAAGATTGTGTGCTGATTTTGAGTAGTACTTGATTCATACAAGCAAAAGAAGACCTCCAACAGTACTGGAAGATCTCCAGTGGTTTGAGCTACCTCTCTCCTATGCCAGATGAGATATTCATCCTATCATTTCCAGCTAGGTCTATCTTGGTTCAGTTACTTCATGGAAGGTCTTGTTCCTGTGACTACATGAATTTCACCTTACCACAATAATCCAACTGTGTAAAGGCATATAATTATGCCTCTGACTCATCAACTTGGGCATACACCCCATTCACACCCACCCACATGCATTCAGCATTTGCTGGTATGCTGCTAAGTCTGTATGTGCTACACATGTGAAATCATTACTCTGGCTTGCACTTTCAAACCTATTTTTTTGCTCCTTGTTACTATAAATAGACCTAGTCTTAAACTAAGACCCACTCAGTGCTAATATTTTTCCACAATTCTCAAAAATTTAGCAAATCCAAATGCCACTTCTGAGGGAAGTGCCATCAAGGAATGAAAGAAGCATAAATCGTTGAGCGTATCAGTTACTCATGCGGTTTAAAGCACAAGGAAATAACAAGCACCACCTTCTGTCTGTCTCTGTTGTCAGCCAGGACAAGCCAGCAATCCGGGAGGTGATCTCACAGTTGGAACTGGACCCAAAATGCAAAGGCTTACCTTTCTCATCATTCTTGATTCTGCCTTTTCAGAGGATCACTAGGCTGAAGCTGCTAGTACAGGTACAACATGATCATACTTTTCTGGCAAGCCCTTACTTGAACACTGCCCTCAAATGTCCACAATTGAGTGAGCCAAAACCAAACACTTCATGGAGAAATGTTTGTTTTTTTGTGGTGGAAATGCATCACTTAACAGCCTGCAATGCAATGACAAAAGAGGTAATATAATTGGCTCTCAGTATATCCACTGATTCTCCATTCATGGATTCCACCATCCATGGCTTGAAAGTATTCCTCCCCCAAAGAAATCCCAAAAGCAAACTTTGATAAAGGTTTTGGCATTTTACTGTGACATTATTATTATGATTGCAGATAGCATGGTTTTATAGTGATCCTAATGTTTTAAAAATGTTTTAATATATTTCAGTTTTGATCTTAATTTAATTTAAATGTTTATTTTAATTGTATATTGTTGTTAAGGCATCAAATTGTTGCCTATCTGTAAACAGTCTTGAGTCCCCTTCGGGGTTGAGAAAGGCGGGATATAAATATAGTAAATAAATAAATAAATACTTCACCATTGTATGTAATGGGACTTTAAGATCCACATATTTTGGTATCCATTGGGGAGTTTGGAGCCAAACTCAGCAGATACCAAGGGCCCACTGTACTGCAGTCCTCTTCTCTTTTTTATGCCTACTCAATATCTGTTTGAACTGGAATTTGAGCCAATTTGTAAAGGATAATTGACAGCTATCCCCCAGTTAAAATTTATTTATCATATCAGGAGAGAACCAAAGAGTTGTATTGCATTTAAAAACAAAAACAAAAAATGCAAAGTTTGCAATCTTGGCATTCTATTAAATGTCTTTGGACCAGTAGCTGGCCACTTGGAGTGCCTCTGGTGTTGCTATAAGAAGGTCCTCCATTATGCATGTGGCAAGGCTCCAGTTGCATTGTAATAGGTGGTCTGAGGTTTGCTCTTCTGCACACTCGCATGTCATGGACTCCACTTTGTGACCCCATTTCTTAAGGTTGGCTCTGCTTCTCATGGTGCCAGAGCGCAGTCTGTTCAGTGCCTTCCAAGTTGCCCAGTTTTCTGTGTGCCCAGGAGGGAGTCTCTCATTTGGTATCAGCCATTGATTGAGGTTCTGGATTTTAGCCTGCCGCTTTTGGACTCTCACTTGTTGAGGTGTTCCAGCGAGTGTCTCTGTAGATCTTAGAAAACTATTTATTGATTTAAGTCGTTGGTCACTCTAAAAGAGACCAAAGCCCTAGTTAAAATGTCCTAATGTGTTCTTAGCTATTAGATAGAACTGTTATATCTCGAAAACATTACTCAGTATGAAGAAAGTGTAACTGTTCTCTCCTTCTTGCATAGAATATCCTGAAAAAAGTAGAAGAAAAATCTGAACGAGAAATCACTGCGCTTGAAGCTCACAAGGAACTGGAAACAGTAAGTTTTTCTGTGCAATTTTTGGCAGGATAGTTAGGGTTTTTGTATGCTTTCCTATAGCATTATGAACTATCTTAATGAAATAAAAGTTAGGAAAGTAGCTGAAATAATTTTACAGTAAAATATTTCTCTCTTTAATTAAAGCAGACTATTTCATTTAATGTATAACAGACATTGCCAAGGCTGGCTCTACACTGTAGAATTAATTGCCATTGCTCAATGCTATGGAATCCTGGGATTTGTAGTTTGATGAGGCAGAGAAAGCTAAAGACCTTGTAAAGTGACAGCTCCTGTAATTCCATAGCATTGTACTGTAAGAGATAAAATGGCATCAAATTGTATTAATTCTACAATGTAGATGCACCCTAAGTAGGAATTTAAAGTTTAACTGGGTGTATCCCCAATACATAAGGATAGCACTTTGATACCACTTCAACAGCCATGGCTCTGCCTTGTGGAATGCTGTAAATTGTAGGTTGCTGATGGAATCAAACCTTGTGCAGAATTCCATATATTTTGCCAAACTGCAGCTTCAGGATGAAACCAAAGCAATTATAGTGGGATCAAGCAGCTAGTATTTTTACTGTTTGGTATAAAGGCATTTGGACAAAAGCATTTTTTAGAAAAAGTTTCCTGAGACTTCAGAGAGCAAAAGCTTCTTTCAAGTACTTGAAGGTGACAGAATCCATGGAGAGCAGTTGTTTAATTAGCTACCACGTGAAGCAAGCCATTAGTAGGTCAGGTTTCATCCAGGAGTGCAGATTTATTATTCTGACCCAAAACTACATGGTATATGAGAGGCTTATTATGAGTGATTCAGCTTGATTTTCAGCTCCCCTTCTGGAAGACTTTGGAAAATATGTGCTATCTGGTACTTTGTGCACTTTGGGTTGGGGACTAAGCCAAAGTGCAATATAATTTTACCATTAGCCTGAAACAGCCTATTACTTGAAGAATATGTACACTGGCATTCCCTGACAACAAAGTGCAGAAGCCCTGCCTCCTATATCCCTCTATATCCACATAGAATTAAAGGTCTGCATTAGGTCTACATACTTAATCAAAAATACATGATTTAGGGAAATCTGATTATCAGCTATGCCAGTGGTTCCCAATCTCTGTTCCATGGACCACCAGTGGCCCCCAAGAATTAAAATAGAGTCTGCAGCCTCACCGTTACTACACCATTGCAACTAGAGTGACTGGTCTTGCGAAATCCTCTTAAAGTGCTGAGGCAATGGGAATGTTGGGAAGGGAGAGGCTTGCTACCCGCAAAAGGCGCAACAACAAGCCTCCTGACTGCTGCTTCTCCTCCTCCTCCCTCCCCCTGAGCGGAGTGATTCCATGTGGCAGCTGGAAGTGGGGGCACCTTGGTGCCTTCGCTTTTAGGCCTGTTCCTGGGGTTATTTGGGGTGCTGATTCAGAAAATTGCATTGGATAGACCACATCAGCTCTAGATGATCAAATATGGTTTTCCGTGGGTGAGCAGATGGTGACTACTGGATGGCATATGTCCTGTATCAGAAACTGTATCCAATGCAATGTTCTGAAACAGCACACTAAAGTTGACCAAAAACTGATTCGTAACTCTTTTGATACTAATGTTGGAGAGTGGTTCCTAGTCAAGTGGTCCCTGGTAAAAAACAAAAAAGGCTGGGAACCACATTTCTATGCAACATCAAGGGGTCTTCTAGCATTGAGAGAAATGCTAGGCTCTATCACCTTCTTGTTTATTGTAGGGATGCCCCATTTTGACCTCACAATGTGCAACTGCAACAGACTTAAGAACGTGTCTATGTTGGCCCAAAGAAAATGCAATGTCATCTCATTGTTTATACATGTACAACTCTATCAACTCTTCAATAAGAGAACATGCATGTACCCATGACATCTTGCAGTAGGTGTAATCCAGGAAACTCACCGTTCCATGGAAAACTGAGTTGGGTTTATGTCATATAGAAGACCATATTGTGAGAAGTATACATTATTGGGGTAAGGAAACAGCTGAGGGGAAGGTTTTCTACACCCAATTCTTTCCTGTGCTCAAGAAAGGCGAATTCCTATATGCTCAGAAAGTGGCTGAAGACAGCAGTCTTTGACTGATGGCTTCTTCTGTCTAAATCCACTTTCTAACCAGTAGGAAAACTTGGCATTCATGGTTTCAAAGCCCTGTGAAGCATAACTGTTGTTAATAGTTGGAGCCTTCTTCCCTTCCTCTGTGTGTGAGTGTCTCCTTCTCCCCCTAGTGTGTACATGCTTTCCTTCACATAATTGAGGTTTTAGCTCAAAATTAGAACTCTGGGGACAAGGAAACCTATTTCTGAAATAATCTCCTTTCTCCTTCTCTTCTAGGTGGTGAAGGCCTGTAATGAAGGTGTTAGAAAGATGAGCCGCACAGAACAAATGATCAGCATCCAGAAGAAATTAGAATTTAAGATTAAGGTATTAGTAGAGCTTGTTTTAAACTTGAACAGAGTGCTCATTTATCATCATTCAGAATTATGCAGTAAATCTAGCACAGCTTTGTCTATATTTACCTTAGTCAGTAATGACTTTATGGGAATCTTCATTTGCCAGACCACTTTATTTTTTACTGTGAACAGCCAAAAAAATTATCACCTGGTATACTTTAGTTTTGCAGTATCTGAAGGGGTTTGCAGATAAGCTTGTTGTCAGTGTGTGATCAAGACTTGAGTACTGGATCATCTAACATGGTATCTTACAAGGGTTCCAGAAAACAGTGTTATATGACCTACTCAAATGTCTCCTCCCTTTCTTCTCTCTTTTACAAAGAACTAGACAGAATAGTTTCAGGATATGTTGTTGAAGGCTTCCGTGGCCAGAATCACTACGTTGCTGTGAGTTTTCCAGGTTGTATGGCCATGTTCCAGAAACTTTCTCTCCTGACATTTCTCCCACATCTATGGCAGGCATCCTCAGAGGTTGTAAAGTCTGTTTCAGGATAGTTTTGATAGGAAGTGTTAGCATCTTGACTCATTCAGGTTGAATGTAGTGTAGCAATAGATCATAGCAGAAATTCTGTTAGGGAATCCATATGTGTCGATTTTCCTGTGGAAATGTCCTTTTTCAGGCATTGTGAGAGTTCGTATTTCTTCTCTCCCTCTGTAGCACCCAGATATCCCCCCCCCCCCACAATAATGTAGTGAAAAGAGCCTGCAGACACTCTGAATGTGTAATGTATGCTTCATGGTGAGCAGGAAATTCGGCAGAAGTGTCAGGCTGTAGTCACATGCAAAGTGAGGGCATCATTGCTGAAATCTGACAAGCTCCGCCAGGGATATCAGCACTGCTGTAATTTTCAATGGGGTATAGTCAGACACATCTCCAAGTTTGCCTGCTTGAAGCATGGAGTAGCCTTGGAGGGCAACTTCAAAGACTTTTCAGTAAGTCAGTGGGAGGGAACATGGCGCAGGCCCCTTCTACACTGCCATATAATCCAGATTATTAAAGCAAATAATCCACATGATCTGATAATAATAATAATAATAATAATAATAATAATAATAATAATGGGTTGTTGTAGGTTTTCCGGGCTATATGGCCATGTTCTAGAGGCATTTTCTCCTGACGTTTCGCCTGCATCTGTGGCAAGCATCCTCAGAGGTAGTGAGGTCTGTTGGAAGTAGGAAAATGGATTTATATATCTGTGGAAAGACCAGGGTGGGACAAAGGACTTTTGTCTGCTGGAGCTAGGTGTGAATGTTTCAACTGACCACCTTCATTAGCATTTAATGGCTTGGAAGTGCCTGGAGCAATCTTTTGTTGAGAGGTGATTAGATGTCTTTGATTGTTTTCCCTCTGCTGTTTTGCTGTTTTAATTTTAGAGTTTTTTAAATACTGGTAGCCAGATTTTGTTCATTTTCATGATTTCTTCCTTTCTGTTGAAATTGTCCACATGCTTGTGGATTTCAGTGGCTTCTCTGTGTAGTCTGACATGGTGGTTGTGAGAGTGGTCCAGCATTTCTGTGTTCTCAAATAATATGCTGTGTCCAGGTTGGTTCATCAGGTGCTCTGCTGTGGCTGACTTCTCTGGTTGAAGTAGTCTGCAGTGCCTTTCATGTTCCTTGATTCGTGTTTGGGCAATGCTGCGTTTGGTGATCCCTATGTAGACTTGTCCACAGCTGCATGGTATACGGTAGACTCCTGCAGAGGTGAGAGTATCCCTCTTGTCCTTTCTGAACGTAGCATTTGTTGGATTTTCTTGGTGGGTTTGTAGATTGTTTGTATGTTGTGTTTCCTCATCAGCTTCCCTATGCGGTCAGTGGTTCCCTTGATGTATGGCAAGAACACTTTTCCTCTGGGTGGATCTTCATCTTTACTCTCGTGGCTTGTTCTTGGTCTTGCAGCTCTTCTGATGTCTGAGATGGAGTATCAATTGGCCTGTAGAGCCCAGTTTAGGTGGTTCAGTTCATCTTGGAGGAGGTGGGCTGCGCAGATTCTTTTTGCACGGTCTGCCAAGGCTTTAATGGTGCTTCTTTTTTTGACTTGGGTGATGGTTGGAGTTTTTATGTAGATATCTATCTGTGTGTGTGGGTTTTCTGTAAACGGTGTGACCCAATTGTTGATCTGGTTTGCGGATGACTAGGACATCTAGAAAAGGCAGTTTTCCTTCATTTTCTTTTTCCATTGTGAACTGGATGTTTGGGTGGATGCTGTTAAGGTGTTCCAGGAACCTGTTGAGTTCTTCTTCTCCATGGCTCCAAATAGTGAAAGTGTCATCCACATATCTGAACCATATAGTGGGCTTATTGGTTGCTGTTCCAAGGGCTTGTTTTTCAAAGTGTTCCATGTAGAAATTAGCTATGACCGGGCTGAGAGGGCTCCCCATAGCTACTCCACCTGTCTGTTCGTAGAACTCATTGTCCCACTGAAAGTAGCTGGCGGTGAGGCAATGGTGAAACAGAGCTGTGATGGTGATGATGATGATGATGATGATGATGATGATGATAATAATAATAATAATAGTTATTATTTTACTGGTACAAAATCACAGTATGTCACAGCAAATGAGATATATATGCTGGATTTCATATCATGAAATTACAAGTCAAACACTTCCCAAGCGTCTAGGACTGTGTGATATATTTTTGAATGATATGCACAGATCCAAGTAAGGTGGCCTTTTGCAGTTGACAGATTGTGATTTTGTTAATGTTTATTGTTTCCAAATGCCAGCTGAGATCTTTTGGCACAGCACCCAGTGTGCCGATGACCACTGGGACCACCTGTACTGGTTTATGCAAGAACCTTTGCAGTTTGATTTTGAGGTCCTGATAACGGCAGAGTTTTTCCTGTTGTTTTTCCTCAATGCAATGTCACCCGGTATGGTGACATCAATAATCCAAACTTTTTTTCTTTTCCACAGTCATGATGCCTGGTGTATTGTGCTCCAAAACTTTGTCAGTCTAGAAAATAGGTGCCACCTTGTCGTGGTGGGGGGCTTAACTGCTCCAAGGATGCTGAGAGCTGTACTGGCAGTAGTGTAACTATCAGCAGGTCCAACTAAGTCAGAGAGGTCTCAGCTGAGGAGTGGAACTAAGAGCACCTAACCCATTAGCACTATGGAGAAGCAACCCAAAACAAAGTCTATACTGGCTCAGTCGACACCCAGAATAAAAAGGACCGCGGTGGATGCTGCTGATTCTGGACATCCATCAACAAGTGGGCTACAGAATCAAAATAAAAATGAACAATCACAGAAGCGGCAGAAATATACAATGCCAGAAAACCACATTATTATTATTAATATTATTAATATTATTATTATTTTAACCCACCATCTCTCCCTGCCATATAATCCAGTTCAAAGCAGATAATCTGGATTTTATATTGCAGTGTAGAAGGGGCCTCAGTGTATCATAGTTTTGCATATGGATGTTTATACTATGTTGAGAGAATGTATGACTGAGGCCTGAATTATTTGCATAGTTTTGATTATTACAATATACCATGATGACATTCTCTTCTGAGAAGTATTTATTTACATAAACTTAACTCTGTTGAGGTTTTATGCTGTGTGAATATCATTCCACAAGTGGTGACATTTGCTCAGAGGCATGAGTAAAGGTAATACTCTGGGATTGTACAAACTGTCTTAATGGTGGCATAAACTATTGTATGATTTGTTATGCTGTCCAGGAGGTTCTTTAAATACAGTCCTTAGCAGTGGGTTGGGAGCTGAATCAACTGTTGCAAGATGAGCCAGTGCACAACCATAGTGCCCATTCCAGGATCAGTTGCACAGCAACTTCAGTATCACTCTGCTGGCATAATCTAGTACTATCACAGTATCTCTGCAATACTTCCCACATGAGTAATAAAAGACACCAGTGTGTTGTGAAAATTCTGTAAATAAGACCCAATACCACAAGGACAGACTAGTTCATACTTCTCTTTGCTTTCTTCCTCATGCAGACCCTCTTTCCTCTCTCAGTCCATCAATTCTAATACCTATAGTTATATCTTTTTAGGGAGACTTTTGAAGAATTGTATCATTCAGGCATTGTCAGTCTCTCTCATCTCTTATTGTAGCTTGTTTAGAAAGGAGCCTTGATAGCTGATAACACATTTTTCTTGGAATTTCTATGATAAAAGGAGGAAACACTTTCATGTTAATACCATAGAAGAAGGCAGAACAAGGAGGAAACAATTACTTTTTAGAATACACACAAGGATATACAGTTGGCTTTTGCTACGCTCGTTCTCCCAATGTGCCTTTGGCTTCTCTCTCTGAATTTAATAAAATTTGTCAGTTTGATCCATTTCATCTTTTTAGAAATCCTTTCTAATTAACTTATAAACCCATGAATGGCAGCCATTCTGCAGATCTCTGCCAAATTTATTCTTGTTGATCACAGAGGGTTATAATAAATTCAGAGTCACATCTCTGTATTTCCCTGTGAGATGCATCAGAGGTCTGCTGTTATTTCATTACCACTTTTGAATTATTGCACCCCAGTATATTCATATTGTTTGCTATCAAAGCTAAATATAAGTATTTAAAAAAAGAGACTGCTCCAGAACATATATTGTATATATTTTAATAAATTAAAAAGTGTTAATACCACTGATCAGCATTTTATAGCAGGCACCATTTCCCAAGTTTACATGATTTAGTTGTGAATTATCATCAGCACAGATCCATTTCCACACTCTTTGTGCTCCCATTTGTGCTTTCCCTTGGTATTGCTGAATTTCTTCATTACTCAGCTTCAATAATTTATTATAAATCTTTAAAACATAACAACAACAACAACAACAACAACAACAACTATCTCTATTTGTATCCTGCTTTTCTCCAACAAAGGGACCCAAAGCAGCTTACTGAAGTTCTTTTTTCTCAAGAACTTCAGTATCAATCATGAGGTTGTTAGGAATTGTGGAAGTTAAAGTCCAAAACACTTGGTGGGTCAAAGTTTGCCCATGCCTTATATAAAGCAACTGGTCTCCACAAAGAGGGCGGCATTGTCTTTCTTTCTTTTTTCCTTCCTTCTCTCGCTCTCTCTGGTAACTAAGACGTCTTGCTATTTTTAGTGTTTGGAACCATTTTTTGGTCTTCTGACGCTTTCCTTTGATCTGCTCTTATGTCTGCCAGAGATATTATATTCCTCATTTAATGTTGCATTATTAGCTATTCTTGTTTGTCTTATCATTTATCATTTTCTTTGTAGACATTTTCTCCCTCTCTGCCTCAACCCTCCTATTACACATCTGATAAGCAAACCAAGACACGTATCTTGCCTGGACTCTGATTGTCTTTATTAGACATCATGGGGTGTGTGGGTGGGAATCCTCTACACTCTTTTAGGCATCTTTTTATCCCCAGTTTTTTCTCTTCTTTCCATTTTTTATTCTGTTAACTCATACTTCATCTCTACATCTTCAAGCCTGTACAGTGCTTGACTGATACTTTAGCCTCCACTGGTTCATCAGTTCTTTCCATTCAGTACCAAGTGCATCCAAAAAACCCCAGTCCTATATCCAAAGAAGTAAGCTGATGCAAAAATAAAAACTAGTTAATCTTAAAGGTGATGCTGCTTTTCTCTCTCCCTTCCTTCCCCATTTTTAAAATATATAGTGGTAATGAGGCCTAAGTGTGTTTCCCCTTTAAGGTAAAGGTAAAGGTTTTTAAGTCTAGTTGTGTCCAACTCTGGGGGTTGGTGCTCATCTCCATTTCTAAGCTGAAGAGCCGGTGTTTGTCCGTAGACATCTCCAAGGTCATATGGCTAGCATGACTGCATAGAGTGCTATTACCTTCCCACCGGAGTGGTACCTGTTGATCTACTCACATTTGCATGTTTTCAAACTGCTAGTAGGTTGGCAGAAGCTGGGGTTAACAGCAGCAGCTGACACCACTCCTTGGATTCGAACCTGCTACTTTTCGGTCAGCAAGTTCAGCAGCTCAGCAGTTTAACCCACTGCGCCACCAGGGGTTCCTTGCCCCTTTAAAGGCAACTCTTATATCCTTGAAGGTGATTTCTCGATGAGTCTTGAGAGGCCAGGAGAGGAAATGCAACAAACTTTATTTGCAAATAGAAATCTGCGGGTAACTGCTCTAAAAGGGAAGCACAAGACGCAGCTCGGTTGGGCTTTATAGGATTTCCAAGGACATTTCGCACCTCTTACATCCTGGTTCTCATGCCCCTCCTTGTCTTTCATTTTGTTTCTTTCGCTTTTCATCCTGCACATGGCACTTTGATCAGATGCTTTATCAAAACAGTCCAGGAAGGCAATTTCTCACAATTTCCCAGTTACAAACATTCAATATATCAGTATACCATCTGGGATTTCCTGGGACTGTTTGAGGTTTCCATTTGATTCAATTTGTCAAAACAAAAAATGCATCAAAATGCCATTTCTAATTTCTACATCTAAGGCTGCTGTCTCTAAGGCTTTATTGCCCTGTATTGCCCTGCTTGTGGCTTGGCATTCCCAGACCTTCAATTGATTCTCTTTTGTATCTCTAAAGTAGGCAATGACTGTTTATTGCCCTGCTTTTCTCCTTGGGGTTGCATTTAGTACAAGTTTTTTTTATTCTGTTTATGTGAACCTTTTCCTGTGTGTGTGTGTGTGTGTTTCTCATAGCTAAATTCTTCTAGCACTAAGACTATCTTCAATTGCTTTCTAAGGCTAAGGCTATTTATTTAATCAAACTATTCTTCGTACTATAGTTATTTAATAAGCAAATGAAATCAGGTCCCTTGTCCCCTTCATCAATTGCTTTAACTTCTTTAATGCCTTCTGACTTGTATTACAGAAGAAATGACTGGTTTCAGCAGTCTGAGCGGATTCGCAAGTAAATAACATCGGGGTGTATATTCAGTAATAGAACACAGAAGACAGTTTTGGTCACAACGGCACAGTTGCTTTCTTCAGACTATTTGTCAGATGCTTGAAATGCAGTACTTGCCAATACCTAGTCAATTTGATCTTTTCCAGCCTCTAAGAAATCATTTTAAACCTATATGTTTCAGCATTCTCCTGTTTTATTGATCTCGGTGCATCTAATGCTTGTCTTCTCCACCCGCATTGCATTGTATTATTTATTACAACTTTTATTGACCTGATTATAAACTTGTGAAAATACTCTTTTTTCTGGGTTGCTGTGAGTTTTCTGTATGACCATGTTCCAGAAGCATTCTCTCCTGACATTTCACCCACATCAGAAGGGAAAGCTTTTGGAACATGGCCATACAACCTGGAAAACTCACAGCAACCCAGTGATTCCAACCATGAAAGCCTTCAACAGCACATTCTTTTTTTCTATTTTTGCACTTTGTTTACTTCAGATATTTAATAAATATTTTAGCATTTCCCCCATGGCATGGTTTAAATATGTAAACTCCATTTCTTCTTTTAGGAACTGTGCAACATTGCAATATGGTCTCTGTATATTATGATTATTGAACTCAAATTGCTTGGCAGAAGGTACTGTGTGGCAGCTTTCCTAACAATTATTTCATTTCTTTTATTAGTCTGTGCCCATCATCTCTCATTCCCGTTGGCTATTAAAGCAGGGAGAACTTCAGCAGATGAATGGTCCCAAAACATCGCGTACCCTTCGCACAAAGAAACTCTTCAGGGAAATCTACTTGTTCCTCTTCAACGATTTGCTAGTGCTCTGCAGACAAATTAATGGGTGAGTCAGAAACAGACAGAGACAGAATTGTGGCTGTCAAATCGTGGGTATAATATTCAAACATTTTATATTAGGTATTTCTTAGATCTGTCAGGGGAAGTTTCTGTTGTGATGCAGACTCAACTGTAGGTCATTACAACCCTGGCTGCAACAGTAAGCAAACATCTCTGTTTCCCATTGCTCTGAATTTTCAAAACTGGGAATTCTCAACCTGCCTTATTAAATTAGCAGGGTTAATGATTTAGCTCAGAAAAGGCTAAATTGAAAGTAAGTGCTAAAATGTTCCCTTGAGGCAACTCTTTGTTTACATCCCATCATACAGTGGCTTCAGCTCCATACCCACATTTAAAAGGAAGCAAAAATCCCAGATCAGCAAATGATAGAAATTACTGCATAGAGAAGAATTTCAGAACAGTGTTTGTTTGGGGTTTTTTAAATGCCCCAAATGTGATTAAAGTGTTGCTTGGGCCTTGGACACTGAGAGTGTATCCATACTACACAATTATACCAATCTTCAACTGTTTTTTTTCTTCGTGTGTCAGGTGAGACTTAACAAACTGGTGTGAGAGAATTGGCCATCTGCAAGGATGTTGCCCAGGGGATGCCCGGTTCCTTATAGGAGGCTTCTGTCATGTCCCAGCATGGGGAGCTGGAGCTGACAGAGGGAGCTCAACCCGCTTTCCCTGGATTCGAACTGCTGACCTATTGGGCAGCAGTCCTGCTGGCACTAGGGTTTAACCTATTGTGCCACCAGGGACTCCTCTTTAACTGTCATGTGTCCATTCTACAGAATCTTGGAATTTGCTGGAAAATTGATTGGAAATCTCCACTTGAAAGCTACTCTGGTGTTGCAGTTCAAATGTGTGGATCATCTCCCAGAAAATTCCAAGTGCCTTACCAAACTACAAATCCCAAGATTCTGTAGGACAGAGCCATGTCAGTTAAAGTGCTAGAAAACTGGCACAATTGAGCACTGTGGATACTCCTTAGATCACATCATTCTTCTACAGAGATAATTTTCTATTGGGTTGTAGGTTTTTTTAGGCTATATGACCTCACAACCTCTGAGAATGCTTGCCATAGATGCAGGCTAAACGTCAGGAGAGAATGCCTCTAGAACATGGCCATACAGCCTGAAAAACCTACAACAACCCAGGGATTCCAGCCATGAAAGCCTTCAACAATACAATTTTCTATTGCTCTGGCTGATTCTGTGTTCCATTTTTGAAATCATGTTATACATATCAGCTGATTGTCAATTACTCTAATGGCCCTATTGTTCTTCCTCTTAGTGACAAGTACCAGGTCTTTGACTCTGCTTCCCGAGGTCTTCTCCGAGTGGAAGAGTTAGAGGACCAAGGACAGAGCTTGGCCAATGTATTTATCCTGAGGTTGCTGGAAAATGCGGATGATCGGGAAGTGAGTTACATGCTGAAGGCATCTTCTCAGTAAGTACTGTTAGATGCCCAGAGTGTAAACGGTGTGGATGAGCCCTTTAAACTTGCTTAATTACAGTAGATTTGGGCTTATTATAGCTCATGGGATAACCTGTGAGTGCATTACCACACGTCGTCCTGTGTGCTTGCAGGTGGAGAAAACACTTCTTGAAAATATTTTCTCACATGTTGCTAAAAATTAAAGTTCCACTCCAACGCTGGTCTTTTCTGTGTTTTAACTGCATTGTATTTTAATGAGTAAGCTACCCTGAGTCCCAGTTTTAGGGAAAAGGCAAGGTATAAAACTAATTCTCACCATCATCATCACCACCATCACCATCACATTCCAGATCACAAATGCTGCTCATGAAAAGAAAAATTTGCCAAGGAAGTGTTATGGTCCAGCATCTATTTCAACAAATGAGTTCTCAGTTACCAGTCACAGCAATGTTTGGTGGAGCAAGAGTAGTGATATGGCAAAGATGATGAGATGTTTTCATGTTTTCTACTTTTTCTGTGTGTCACTTTTTGTTTTTCCACCCCCACTCATCCATTCCACAAAATAAATCTCAAGGACAAGGTGTTTTGCTCTAAAGCTGTTGGTTTTACACCTTCTGCTTGAAGTACTCATTGTTCTTTACAGCATCAGAGGCAAAAGGAAGATGATGGAAACCATGCACTATCTCCTTTTGGCCATAAAGTTGGTATCTCAAGGTGAATGTGACTTAGGTTGTATCCACACTGCAAAGTTATAGCAGTTTGACACCACATGTAACTGCCATGGCTCTATGTTATGGAATTCTGGTATTGTAGTTTTGTGAGCTATTTATTTATTTATTATTTATTTTATTGCATGCATTTCTACCCCACCCTTCTCTCCCCAAAGGGGGACTCAAGGCGGCCTCACATAAGCATGATGTGATGCTGTCAACATATAAACAACAAGGTATACAATTAAAACAGTAAAATCATTAAAACACATTATACAAATTCATTATCAAGTTCATTAAACAATAAATTAACATGCCAATTAAAATCAAGACCAAGTTGGGTAAATCCAATGTTTCATATGTCCTAATTTTTTACTCCAATTATCGCTGTCCACTAGACGAACGCCTGGTCCCAAAGCCAAGCCATTTACCCATCTCTGCCAAAGAGCTCTAGTACCATGGCAAACTGCAACTCCCAGGATTCTATAGAATGAAGCCATGGTAGTTAAAGTGATATTAAATTGCTGTAGTTCTGCCAATGTGGATGAGTGGTTAAAGACACTAAATTCAGAGACTCAAAGAGGGCCATCTTAACTCCAGTGCTCTCTTTTTGTTGTTGTTTTTTTCCATGTCAGGAGTGACTTGAGAAATTGCAAGTTGCTTCTGGTGTGAGAGAATTGGATGCCTGCAAGGACGTTGCCCAGGGGACGATCAGATGTTTTTCATGTTATACCATCCTTGTGGGGGACTTCTCTCATGTCCCCGATAAAGCCATGGTAGTTAAAGTGATATCAAAGTGCTGTAATTCTGCAATGTGGATGAGTGGCTAAAGACACTAAATTAAAAGAGACTCAAAGAGGGTCACATGGACTCCAGTGCTCCCCTTTTTGTTGTTCTTATATTATTATATCTCCTGATTCACGTCTAACTTGACTCATTAAATGAGAATAGCTGTTTCAGGTATATCAGGAAATAATGCATGTAAATAAAAGTGAAAAATATGATTTTGGCTGCAGAATGTATTGTTCAGCCAACTGCTCTGTAATACTGGTATGTTCAGATTCTTGTATTATAATTCACACATTTCACTTGGACACTTTATTGTATTACCTTGTGCATGACATTTTAACTGGTGAGTGGGAGCAGGTGAGTCAGAATACATAAATGTCTTGGTGACAATTGATTTTTTATAGGCTTGGTTGACAGGAGAAAGAGAGCACATGGATGTCACCTATTTTCACATGAGAAAAGGTGCACTGTTACATAAGGCTGCTATAAGAGCAAGGCCTAGGCAAAAAGAGAAGACAAGAAAGAGAAATATTAGATCAATAAGGGAAAACTGCGAGAGCAAAAGCGTTGTGTGTGTCAGAGAACTGTCAGATAACAGAATATATATTGGCCAAAAAATACAAAAACTGAGTAAGCATGTAACACTCGCTCTTTCCAAAATAGAGTAGGAAAAAAATGTTCTCTTTTCTCTCCTTACACCTCTAACCCACACAGAAGTGAAATGAAGCGCTGGATGATCTTGTTGGCCCCAAATCGGCGAACCAAGTTCGTTTCCTTTTCATCTAGGATGATGGGTAAGTGGGGAAACAGAAAAGGGGAGGGATGATGGGCAGATGCCATCTGGAGCATTTTTCTTTCCTGGTTCTAATCATGTTGCTTCAACGATGTAGAGCAAGTCGCTTCTCAAGTATCTCAAGTCACTCCTGACACGACAAAAAAAATGATATAGAGAAAGGTCAGGTGTTATTCGTGGAACAAACATTGTTTAAAATTACATTCGGAAGTTCAGCTTTGAGTTGACACCTTAAATGACTTTTCAGAGTTAGTAGCGCAGTTACTTGCTTTACTCAAGTGACAATTAGGCCCATTTCAAATGTATTAGGGTTTGATACAGTTTACTATTTCATATTTGTTTGCTCCTCATTCATCAGGACCCCTAGAGATCCATCCTCACTAATCCTTCTTGTGGCATTCAAATTAAAGTGGATGATCCCCAGATATCGTATTTAAAGGAGTGCATTCCTTGAGTCTTTTAGCATAAGTAGATGCCCATTGAATGACATTATTCTGCAACCAGACAGTGTTTTCGCTGGCTATTGTACTGAAATATTTGTTGTGATGATACAGCCTTTTGGGTTACATTTTTCTCTAGGATATGTCTGAATGTGCCCACACACCCTGCACTTTGTAGTTACAGCTTCAGAGATAGACTATGGTGTCATAAATAAATATTACACTACAGTCCAGATCACATTTTATTTTGCACTCCAAAGCCCAGTTATAGAGAAGGAATGGGCTTGGTGTCCATATATTGCAGTAAGTATTTTCATATTGATATACATTTGAGTCCTGTCCTCTAAACCTTTTCTTTCTTGTTGGCAGATTGCCCTCAAGTACAGTGTGTCCATCCATATGTGGCTCAACAACCTGATGAGCTCTCACTAGAACTGGCTGATGTACTGAACATTCTGGAAAAGACAGATGATGGTAAGACCTGACATCTCAACAATATTTCAACATAAGACAGAATTATGGCTGGAATTCAGGGCCAGACATACGGATGTGTAACCTGGAATCCCACATCTGTAATGGACTCATATTCATAGTCCCTACATATTCATGCTCAGAGTCCCTACATATTATTAATAAATAATAATAATATTTATTTGTACCCCGCCACCATCTACCCAAAGGGACTCGGAGTGGCTCACAGAAGCACTCCAAGTGCCACATCCAGACAATAATACATAAGTATAAATACAGTGACATAAGTATAATAACAGTGCATTAAAATCTCATTAATAAAATTATAAAAATTTGAAAATAATAAAATTCCTAAAATGCAGTGGGATCTGCCATCACATATAATTATTGCCACATTATATCTCCATCCCAAGCCTACTTTATTGGGAAGCAGCCATACAAAGAAGAAGGGGGGCATTTTGCTGAGGTCAAGCACATGTAATGGCATATCCACATGACTCCTAAGGATATTAGAGGCAAAGATGAAGTACTTTGGCCACATATGAGAAGACAGGAAAGCATGGAGAAGATAATGAATTCCTGGCCAGTTGGTAGCTCACTGTGAAGCTTTTGCTCAGTACTTTGTGGACAAAGTCGCTCATATAGGGAAAATGGAAGGAAAAAGGAAGTGGGGCCGACCAACGGCAAGATGGATGGATGTTATCTTTGAAGTGTCTGGCTTGACCTTGAAGGAGCTGGGGGTGGCCACAGTCGACAGGGAACTCTGGCGTGGGCTGGTCCATGAGGTCACAAAGAGTCGGAAATGACTGAATGAATAAATAACAATACACAACTCCTTCCAGCTAGAAAGGCTGCGACAAGGAAGTGTAATGGGAATCCTGCTTCTGATGGTCTCTCCAGTCACTGGCACAATGTGCCCCATTTTCTCTATATGGGTGCTGTCTGCCAAAGTAGGTTTTGGAGGGGGGTGGGTCAGGGGGGCATACTTAAGTAAATAGCTAATATAGAATACCAGTACATATCTTTAAAGGTGATCCAGTGGCAAGAAATGTTTGTGAATTTTAGTGATACTTATGGAAATTCCATTACTTCATGCTGGATAGCCTTTTCTAAATATCCAGAATGGTTTATATTTAACAGTTCTAAGTGGTATCAAACAACATGATGATGCATAACTTAAGCAAACAAAAATAACAGAAGGAGTAGGATAGGTGTAGAAGTAATTGAATTCCCTGCTTGCATCACTCCATTCAAGGGGATAATTATAATCAGTTAATTAAGTAATTGGTTTGGAATACAAGGGTGAATTTGGGAAACACCATCCTATAAAAGGATCGTAAACATCATAGATTTGTTCTTCACCACACAGTCCTGTGAGAACATAGGTTGCCACAATCAAACATTCCTCAGGGTCTCAGAAAAGGAGGTATTACTACTTATCAGTGAAGGAAAGGTTACTAAACCATTTCTAAGGATATGTGGCTCCATCAATCCATTGTTAGACAAATAGTTTACACATGGACAAAATTCAAGACCAGGAAAGAGCATTGCTGCTCTTCTGAAGTTTGCTAAAGGTAACAAGTTGATCCCCGAGACTTCTGCAACAATATTGCCAAGTTAAAGGAAGAACCTTTATATTTGGCAAAATAAAGACTGGGTTCAAAGAGAAGAACTTCATTTCAACTGTCAATATTGTTTTGTGATAGTTTGGGTCTCAGCACCTAGTTAGCTTTTCATCGTGGACACAACTGTGAATTTTGTACTGTATCAGAACATTGTAGAAGATAATGCCAGTCCATTCATCCAAGAACTGAAACTGAACTGAAAGCAGGTCATTCATCTTAACAGTGACCACAAACATACATACAACCAAGTCTACTAAAGAGCAATCATGTAATTGTTTATTCATTCAGTCGTTTCCTATTCTTCGTGGCCTCATGGATCAGCCCATGCCAGAGTTCCCTGTTGGCTTTCACCATCCCCAGCTCCTTCAGGGTCAAGCCAGTCACTTCAAGGAAACCATCCATCCATCCATCTTGCCCTTGGTCAGCCCCTCTTCCTTTTCCCTTCCATTTTCCCCAGCATCATTATTTTCTCCAAGCTTTCTTGTCTTCTCATTATGTGGCCAAAGTACTTCATCTTTGCTTCTAATATCCTTCCCTCCAGTGAACAGCCGGGCATTATTTCCTGGAATATGGACCGGTTGGATCTTCTTGCGGCCCAAGGCACTCTCAGAATTTTCCTCCAATATCAAAGTTCAAAAGCATCTATCTTCCTTCACTCAGCCTTCCTTATGGTCCAGCTCTCGCATCCGTAGGTTACTATGGGGAATACCATTGCTTTAACTATGTGGATCTTCGTTGCCCGTGTGATTTCTCTACTCTTCACTATCTTATCGAGATTGGTCATGGCTCTCCTCCCAGGAAGTAAACGTCTTCTGATTTCCTGGCTGCAGTCTGCATCTGCAGTAATCTTTGTGCCTGGAAATGCAAAGTCTGTCACTGGCTCCACGTTTTCTCCCTCTATTTGCCAGTTATCAATCAGTCTGGTTACCATAATATGTTTTTTTTTTTTCAATGTTTAACTGCAACCTCGCTTTTGCATTTTCTCCTTTGCCACTGTATCAAAGTTTGAGCATTTTTAACATTTACCTTTTTTGGTATGAGGACAGAAGAAGATATCGTGTGTTTTAGAATGACTGAAAAAAAGATTAAACTATTGGAATGAAGCAACCTGTTCATTCAAGGAAGCTGGCAAATAACACTGAGTTACAGCAGAGCCAACATTCCTTAAAACTATTGTGAAAAAGAAACAAGAAACATTTATTTGAAATCCTTGTTGCTCAAGATCAGGCAATCTGATTTTTTAAAAAATCTAGGATTATGTAGTTTGATTAAGATCTAATATTATTTTAGATTGGGACTATATGACAGTCCTAAGGAGTTCATAAACTTTTTCTTGACACTGTACATATTTTCATAACCGGGTAGCAGTTGGCCTGCCAAATGTTTACCCTTACATTCTTCATAATCTGTTCTTCAGTTCAGTAGATAAATAAATGTCAAAGTACTACAATCCCCACGAATCTGAATTCTTATAAGCCTCTCTGAGTTGTAGCATCTGCTTCAGACTTAAAAGATTATGCAGCCAGCTTTCTCTTAATACATTCTGGTATGATCCATGATTTTGTTGTTTTGCAGGAAAAAAAAAACATTTCTTGCATTGCATTTTGAACTTGTATTGTATTATGTCATTGTTGATTTATTGAACTGTTCTGCCACCTTATTCTTCTGACTATCATGTCCTCTTTTTTTTAACCCAGGTTGGATATTTGGGGAACGCTTGCATGATCAAGAGAGGGGTTGGTTCCCCAGCTCTATGGGTGAGGAGATTATGAACCCCAAGATTCGGTCTCAGAACTTGAAAGAGTGCTTTCGGGTGCACAAGACAGATGACAGTCAACGGAGGAAGATGAGCAGCAAGAACAGACAGTGATCATTGCACACAGTTATATGTTCTTCATCGAAAGCAATTTATACGGCAGAGGCTGTGACAATGGGATTCAATATGCAGAAGGAGGCATACAGATGCCAACTGTTGACATTGAGGCTTCCCACTTTCCAACTTTGTGGGCTTCTTTGCATATTTGACACAGCGTGGATAATAATACCAGAGACACATTTGAAAGGAGGGGAGGCTGCCGTGTGCCTGTACAGATGTAGGAGCTGTAAAATATTTTTCCTTGTGTATTATGAACTCCAAAATGTGTTAATTTGTCAGTTCTGCATGGTGAAGAAACAATGGGCACTGAACAACTGGAAAAACTGTGTCAAATCTCAGGAGGCTAGTGGCTTGATTCTGCAATGTTCCATCCAACAGTAGAACCAAGTGGTGTATTTGATTGTCTAGTGGGAAAATAGTGTCTGGAATATTTGGAAGACAAAGGCACAATACCCTTTAAAATAGTTACTATAGCTGTCTGCATTCACAATCCTAAAATCAGGAAGCTTTGGCTTAGGAACTGAATTTGAACAGGCAACACTGACAGGTAGTCATGTGCATTTGGGCTAAAAGGCATACCGTTTTGGGGTCGGTTTTGTCTGACCCCTCATTTTGTTTACCAGAAAGTTACCCGAAAGGGGAGGAGTGTTTTCCATTTCATTTGGCAGAGATTCGGCCCATTGGCTACAATGAGAAACTTTAAAGGCTCAATCCTCAGCTATTTTAAGGTATATCGTCAAGAAACCTATCTTGGTTGTAGACCCCATTTACAACTGCAGGCCTGCCAAGTTTCAAAACAATTCACCAATCTATTGATTTTTTTATGATTCTTTTAAGTTTTATACATAACATTTTTTTAAATAAGACAAACCACAAGAGAGGGTTCTGAGAGTTGTAGTCACCAGTTGTGTCCATTTTCAGCAATCAGAGCTTGGATACCACCAGGCTTTTTATTGGCTGAGAGACACACACACACAGAGAAAGTTCAATTGTCATCAGTGGCCACCCTATTCTAGTTCCACTGGGAAAGTGAGTTCTAAGGACCCTCTCTCTAGAAGGAGGGAACTTTCCAAGAAAAAACTGAGGAGGCCTCTTTTCCCAGGGAGAGAAAAAGATGCCACAGATCCCCATGCCTTGGGTATTTTGTGGACTTAACTCTTTCTGAAAATATCGCTGGTCTTTTTGTCTCTCTCTTCCCCTTTCTGATTTTGGAAATTACATGAAAATGACCCTCCGAATACTACAAATCTTTTCATTACCAGTTATTCGGGTCCAACTCTACTGACAGGTATTTTCTTTTCAAATGCATTGGTAGAACCTGCAAAGAAAGTGTATCACAGTCTATTCTGATTCAAAATACTTCACAGTCTAGGACTGTCCCGAAGAAAGGTTTGAATTCCCATTTTATAGAAAGTAGTATTGAAACAGGAAAACTGCCTTTTTGCAAATGGCATAACTAGAAACTCAGGCTGCGGTTCTGTATTTTGGAACACTGAGCACCCCGTGTTTTTCAAACTACAAACCTCTCTTTACTAACATGCTGAGCCAGATCAATTTTTGTCTCATTCCTGGCCCAATGCCTTCTCTTTTGTTAGGACCACCACTTTGTCTTGGATTAATCACTTCCGGTTGCATCTTATTAACAAGACAAATGTCGTCATCACCGCAGTGTGTCAGTACCTTCAGGTTGCCTATTGATCGATTGAAACACCCATAAATTTCATAAGATTTTCTTATGCAATGAATACTCAGAAGTCATGTCGTCAGTTCCTTCTTCTGAAATACAGCATACCACTAGCTCTCACCAATAAAGAGTGTAGACATATTTTACTAAATGAATAAGAATGCACTGCGTTGTATGGAGTAAAGGAGGACATGGAAAATTTTCTTTTAAGTGTGATATAATGGTTCTGTCGAATTAAAAACAAACCCAGTGAAGACCATCTTTGGGCTGCCAATCTGCAATCTCTGGGATGCTATCTCTGAGAATCTAAAAATAACTCATTTGTGGACAAACCAGACAAGTTCTGTATAAATTACTGTTTCTACATGGTGTATATATGATCTGTGAGCAAAGTGTTTTGAATAGTATTTTGATCAAATCCAGAGGGTTATGATGGAAATACATCCTTTCCAATATCAGAGGATTATCCTCTTCCAGTGTTCATGCTAGATACATACACATAAAAGACTTAAGGCAAAAGATGGCACACTTTTTAATTAAACGTTGTCTGAACATGTTGTACTGATGCATATCAGTTGAGCCGTCTATGTATAATACTTTTGAACCGGTGTATATAAGAAAACTTCAAAAAGCCAAAAGGATCAGGGAAGTATCTCCTCTTTTAATGCAAGTGTCATAACAGCAAGATGCTTATGGAAGAAAGGAAATGATGGACAGAGAATTTGTCTAAGGACAATCACATGGTCAAATGTGAGAGGGATCAACAAACTAAAAGATTGTAAAGTGTTTTGCATATTAAAAGTGTTAAATAAATAATAACTTGTGTTTATTTGACTTAGACAGTCCAAACCTTCCTCATTGCTCTTTTGCAAGTCATAGAGCAAACATAGGTAAAGGTTTCCCCTCACATTATCTAGTCGCGTTCGACTCGGGGGGGTGGTACTCATCTCCATTTCTAAGCCAAAGAGCTGGTGTTATCCGAAGACACCTCCAAGGTCATTGGCCAGCATGACTGCATGGCGTGCCGTTACCTTCCCGCAGAAGCAGTACCTATTGATCTACTCACACTTGCACGTTTTCGAACTGCTAGGTTGGCAGAAGTTGGGGCTAACAGTGGGAGCTCACCCCACTCCCCAGATTTGAACTGCCAACCTTTTGGTCAGGAAGTTCAGCAGCTCTGGGGTTTAACCCACTGTGCCTTTAGGACTAACATCTATCTATATAAAAATATTCTGTTCGTTTTGAGTGATATCATAATTCAAAATCCGCTGGACAAATTGCCACCAAATTTGGCCACAAGACACCTACTAACTCAAGGAGTGATCATCACTCAAAAAATTAATTTTGTCATTTGGGAGTTGTAGGTGCTGGGATTTATAGTTCACCTACAATCAAAGCGCATTTTGAACTCCACCAACGATGGAATTGAGCCAAATGTGGCATACTGGACTCCCATGATGGAAAATACTAGAAGGGTTTGTTGAGCATTGACCTTGAGTCTGGGAGTTGTAGTTCACCTACATCCAGAGAGCACTGTGGACTCAAACAATGATGGATCTGGATCAAACTTGGCACAAATATTCCATATGCCCAAATATGAACACAGATGGAGTTTGGGGAAAATAGAACTTGATATTTGGGAGTTGTAGTTACTAGGATTTATAGTTCACCTACAATCAAAGAGCATTCTGAACCCCACCAACGACAGAATTGAGGCAAACTTCCCACACAGAACCCCCATGACCAACAGAAAATACTTAAGACCATCCAGTCCAACTCCCTTCACCAGGGATGCAGCTGGAAATCTGCCAGCCAGACGGGAAAAGCTCTGTGGAAGGAGAGGAGTCTCTAGGAAGTGTTGGCATTCCTGGCCAGCAGGTGTCCAAGGTGGGAGTGATGTGATTATAACACCCAGGCCCTGGAGAACAATGGAAGCTGATCTTTGCAGTCTTGGCTTGGGCTAGGTAAACAAAGATGCCTGTTGAGGTGGCTGTAGTTGTGCAGGCCAGATCACATATACGGCAAACATTCAATGCTGTTGACCAGACAGGATAGACACCATATACATATACATATACATATACATATACATATACATAAACATATACATACACGCACACACACACACACACACACACACACACACACACACACACACACATATATATATATATATATATATATATATATATCTGTAGGCCTTTTCCCAACTTCGGCATCCTGGAAGTTGTGCTCAATTCTGGCCACAGGGGGGTGCTGTTTCTCCATCCTCTATGTTGAAGAGCCCTTGATCACAGACTTCTCCCTTTCTTTTGATCCCTTTCATTTTCTGGTATTTCCTTTTTATGGTGCCATAAAATACCTCCCCGCTTAAGCTGTACCTAATTTATCTATTGACAGCTGTTTTTCAAACTGGGTAGGTGGACAGTGAGCTGGACTGAAGGTCAGGCACTCACCCTGACCCAGGCTTCGAACTGCCAGCATTCCGATTGGTAAGATTTATTGCAGCTGGTGATCAACCAGCTGTGCTAAAGCCCGACCCTTATATTTAGTACATTTAAGAATAAGGTAGAATAAAAGTACAGTTTATACATTTCAGACTTGGGAAATAGATGCATTGTATAAAAGGATAAAAGTTATACAGAAAGGAATAGATACAAATGTGGTAGCTGCTTGATCCTATTTTTGTGGTTTTGTCTTTACTTCTTGACTTTAGTCAGGTAGAAGTCAATGTTTTCTGTCTCAGAAATAAAATAGAACATATTTAATTAACGTATAGGAAGAAAGTGGAATAAAATATAGTTTATAGTTAGGAGGAGAGAGGCAAGGGTCTAAAGGTGGAGGGGCCTGGAAGGCTTTATGCAAAAGAGAGGGCGCTGCTTTTCTCATTCTGGCTTGTTGCCCTTGGAAAATTATAAATTCCTAACTATAAATCCCTTTTTATTGGGGATGGAGGTAGCGGTGTTAGTTAACATTATAGAAATAAAAATATATTGCATGTAAGACATTTAAACAACAAAGATGTGAATAAGAACATTCTAAAATCCTAATGAAGTCAAAGCCCAGAGGAGATTACAACACATTACTATCCTAAATCGGGTAAGCGTGTTTTTTCAAAAGGCTAAATCAGACAAAAGAAGAGGGGAAATCCTGATGTGTCTTTGTTGGTCTGAGAGATAAAAGGGACTAAATTTCTAAAAGCTATCTTGCTTAACTGGTCTTATTGTTTGCTTTGTTGTGTTAACATTTAAGACAATGCCAATAGCCAAACCCTTCTTCCTCAATTCCAAATTGAATTTCCAGTGTAAAGCTACCTTCAGTTTAGTGTCTACATGAGGAATAAGATACGCTTAGGCGATCCCTCACTGTCTGAGTAAGATTGTCCTCCAAGTTTGGTGACCTGCGGTGGGTATGTAGGTGACTGTGGAGTCCGATTCTTGACCTGCGTGTTCTCCCACAATGAGGGCATCGGTTTCCAGGTGGAAGGCGGTCCCAGTCAGGGTTGGCTTGATGCACCTTCCTCTAGACACATTTCTCTCTTTCACCCTCCATTCGTGCCTCTTCAAAATCTACAGCACTGCTGGTCACAGCTGACCTTCAGCTGGAGCACACAAGGACCAGGGCTTCTCAGTTCTCAGTGTCTATGCCACAGTTTTTAAGGTTGGCTTTGAGCCCATCTTTAAATCTTTTTTCCTGTCCTCCAACATTCCATTTTCCATTCTTGAGTTCAGAGCTTTGGGAGACAGTGGTCGGGCATCCGGTCCAGTGGAGTTGATGGCGGAGGACCATAGCTTCAATGCTGATGGTCTTTGCTTCTTTCAGCACATTGAATAAGATAAAGCTTGTCTTGACTTTCTTCATATATTGAAAGAAACACCACCTTTGAGACAAATTATACATAAGCTGATGTAATCACTCTATCACCACTATTCCTGGAATGCCTGAATAGATTTGGAGGTCCACCCTTAATATATAAGAGACACACTTTTTCTTTCTCACTAATCATCATTTATTACTGAGACAAAGGCATATAGAACTTATAGAAAGCCTGATATGCTACAGAAAGACTTACAACCAGTCCATAGAGAAAACCAACATAGCTCTTGCCTTTTTTTTTTACTGTTGTCTGTAATTTATCAAAGGCTAAAGTCTGATTTAGCGCAGTCAACCTGCTGCTCAGACTATTTCTACTGAATTCTGTCACCTGAGAGATATTAAAATACAAGCTGCCCTCACCTCCTTACTGTATATTTATATCAAACAATTATATTGGGTAACTTTCTAACCTTTCCCCCCTTCACTTCTCCAAAGTATTTTTAAATAAGTCTGAACAGACATGGTATTTTAAAAACAACAACAAGAAATGCATTTTAATCAAAACAGAATAGTTAAAAAGAGGTTTTTTTAAATCAATGCAGGATATTGCGGTCCTTTAGCTACTAACATTAAAGAAACGAAAAGCTAAGTTAAAAATTATTTACAATATAGCTTTGTATGTTAAGAGTTGGGCACATATTTCTTACTTCCACAATATGCATGTGTTCCTTTTATACTTTAATCACAGTGGAATGTGGAAAAAACATTTTCCTCAAGTTGATACTTAATCTGTATATAGGTATATAGGTACTTTCCAAAAGTTCGTTAGTGCAACAGATAACCATGAAACAAGTTGAGCATCCTTTATGTGGAATTAAAAAATCCAAAATGTTCCAAATTGCAAAATTGTCTGCATACTGTGTTTCCCCAAAATTAAGACACTGTCTTATGTTTGTTTTTCCTCAAGAAGACACACTATGGCTTATTTTCAGGGGATGTCTTATTTTTTATTGAGTATAGTACAACAATCTGCATTTATTTTAATATAGTGCTGAGTAAAACGGCAGCCACAGCTTTATTTCTTCCCCCTGAGGACACACAATAGCTAAAGCAGAGCACCCTGCTCCGCATTTCACTGAAGAAGCTTCCTGGGGACGGCCAAAGGGAAACAGTGCCACTAACTATGGCCCTGTTGGAGCTGGTAACTCACTCCATCTCTCATTCACTTGGAGAGGAAGCCTTGCCTTGCCTTGCCTGGCCTGTCCTGGCGGGAAGAAAGAACAGAAGGTGAAGGAGGAGAAGGAGGAGGAGGAGGAGGAGAAGGAAGAGGAGGAAGAGGAGGAGGAGGAGGGAAGTGAGAGGGAGGGAATCCCGGACTCGCCTCTGCCGTCACTGTGGAAAGTTCATGCATTTCACTTTCTATGTCTCCACTATGTTTCAGCTTGTATCACTACGTCTTATTTTCGAGGTATGGCTTATATTGCGCAAATGCTTAGAAATCCTGCTACGGCTTATTTTATGGGTATTCCTTATTTTCAGGGAAACATGGTAGATGGCTGAGCCGGTATCACCTTTGCTCTCTGATGGTTCAGTGCACATAAACTTTGATTCCTGCACAAACACATAAAACCTCCTTCAGGCTATGTGCATACGATGTATATGAAACATTAAGTAATTAATTTTGTGTTTAGGCTTCAATCCCATCTCACAATATATATATATTGACAAATTGGGAAGAAATTGAAATCTAAACACTTCTGATTCCAAGCATTTCGAATAAGGGATACTCAACCTGTACTTTCAAAGTATTTTTATCATAGCCCCAATTACAAGTCATTCAAGAAGCAGGATTTCCTGTGGCGTTTGAGTAGTACAGGTGCTAAAGGATCTTGCTTTTAATCTCTCACACATAGAAAACACAAGCAGAGAAGAAGGAGGGAGCTTGGACAAGTGTATATTAGGAAAAAAATAACTCTTTATTGATTTCAGGAAGCTGAGAACTTTCTCAGGGTGATGACAATCAAGGCCACAATCACAGATGTGCCCAGCAGAGCAGCAATCACAATGGCACCAATGGCTCCCGGACCCAATGACCCTGAAGGTGATAAAAAGGGGCAGGGGAAAAGATTGATTGATTCAGGAAAACAAGGCAAATGTGGTGGAAAGTTTTCACATAGCGATAGGCATTGAAAGTTGTATTTAACATGTACTTAAATTCTTCTATTAATGCAATGCAGACAGTGTAATTCCTCCTTGCATATCTTTAATAGCTCCTCTAGAGCAGGACTTTTCCCATTTGAAACCCCTTTCCATGAACTCAAGTATATAGGTATATAAAATAGGTATAAAAATCCGTAATTTACTGAAAATTTGTGAGACTTGCTAAACTGGCTGATTTTCGTTTTTGTGGAGTACAGCTGAAGCATTTTCTGCAGAGTCCACAGACACTATGTGACATTCAGAAAACATTTACTGTTGCCAATTTTTTCATGATCCCAACATTGAGCTTGGGGTCAGGAACCACAGTTTAAGAAGCAGTGCTCTGGAGAATTCTCTGGAGCAGCCTGAGATTCGTGAAGCACTGTAGACAGGGAGGCAACATAAAAAGATCTGCTTGCGTGACATCGGATTATACATTCCAGCATAAACGTCTGCTAAAAACTGCAGTTGCAGGAGGATAATATTACTGAATAGTATTGGATCAACTTAAGCAATACTGTCTATAAAACCCTTCTGTCATATTCTTTAAGCCAGTTGTTGACAACTATTTTTAGCGAGAAGGCCAATCTAGGTCAGAGCACAGGAATAAGGAAACACTCCTCTTCTTTTTAAAAATGTAGAACCAAGGAGGTGGAGGAAACTTATTAATTAGATGAAGGTTTAGAGGGCATGCTTATCAAATTTGCAGATGACATCAAATTAGGAGGAATAGTTAACACCAGAAGACAGCATCAGAATTCAAAACTATCTTAACAGATTGGAGAGCTGGGATAAAACTAGCAACGAGAATTTCAACTTAGGCCAAAAAAAATGGAACGCAAAGATACAAATTGGGTGATGCCTGGCTCGTCAACAGTCCATGTGAAAAGATCTTGGAGTCTTCGTGGACAACAAGTTGAATGTGAGCCAACAGCTTTAAAAGTCAATGGGATTTTAGGCTGCATGAAAAGGAATATAGTGTCTAGATCGATGGTTCTCAACCTGTGGGTCCTCAGATGCTTTGGCCTTCAACTCCCAGAAATCCTAACAGCTGGTAAACTGGCTGGGATTTCTAGGAGTTATAAGCCAAAACACCTGGGGACCCACAGGTTGAGAACCACTGGTCTAGATCAAGGGAAGTCATGGTGCGTCTCTATTCTGCTTTGGTCAGACATCGCCTGGAATACTGTGTCCAATTCTGGGCACCACAGTTCAAAACAGATATTGACAAACTGAAACATATCCAGAAGAGGGCAACTAAAATGACCAAAGAGCTGGAGATCATGAATCCCTAGGAGGAGTGTCTTAAAGAGCTGGGTATGTTTAGCCTGCAGAAGAGAAGGTTGAGAGGAGACATGACCCCATATATAAATATGTGAAAGGATGTCATAAGGTGGAGAGAGCAAGCTTGTTTTCTGCTGCCCTAGAAACCAGGGACTTTTTTGGAGTGTGCTATTGCGCCGACAATCACTAGCGAAAGGGAAGGTGCATGGGTGGCTCATAGCACCCTGTGCTCACTCCTCCCCTTATCACATGGTAGGGATGGGAGAGGGTGCTTTGGCACCTTTTCCCTCCCACCATCAGATGGCAGAAAAGACAGTAACATGCATTGCCCCGCTATCCTTTCTGTCATCACATGGGGAAATGGGAGGAAAGTGAGGTGCTTCTTCCCCCACAATGGGGAGGAAAGTATATTTTGGGTAGCTCTGACAGAGCTACCCAAAATATACTTTCCTCCCCATTGTGGGGGAAGAAGTACCTTTCGGGGCTTGCTTCCGACTTTGGAAGGAAAGTGAGTGGGGCCTGCCATGTGTCATGTGATAACGTATGGCAGGCCCCATCCTTGCCACAAAGCAAAGTGGCAAAACAGGGCAAAAATGCTCTGTATGAAGGGGTCATAGGAGCTGGAGCAATGGGTTCAAATGACAGGAAAGGAGATTCCAGCTGAACATTAGGAAGAAAATCCTGACTAAGAGTTGTTCAGCAGTGGAACTCTCTGTCTCTAAGTGTGGTGGAAGCTTCTTCCTTGGAGGCTTTTAAACAGAGGCTGGATGGCCATCTGTCGAAGGTGCTTTGAATGTGTTTTCCTGCCTGGCAAGGGGTTGGACTAGATGGCCCATGCAGTCTCTTTCAACTCTATGATTCTATGAAGCAGAGTGTGCATTCTTGCAAGGTCAAAACAGTCTGAGTGACACATATTTCTGATCAACAATACAGAGTGACTTCATATTCATGTAATGTTAAAATATGGCTACATGCATGGACTTGTATAACTACCTCTCTACTCACTTTAATTCCTTTTTATGTCCAATTCAATATTAACTATGTTTATAGATAAGCCAACATCAGATCAAAGAACATTTCTTTTTCTAACCCATAGTTAACACAAACTATATTAGAACCCTTCCTTCCTTCCTGGATAACACTTTGATAATTGACAGGCAATGATTGAGGGACTAGCACAGGTTCAGTGACCACCATTCTGGATAGCACTGGTCAATAAGATATGTTGGTGGGAATGGGGGAAAAACAATCATGGAATTTAGTAGGGTTCTTCCTTGTGAGGCATATGCTGATGATGCTCATGATCTGTGTCCCCCACAAAAGGAAAGATTTCTTCACAGCTGTATTGAAAGGAAATGACAAGAACCCAACCAGTATCTCCAGTGCAACTCAGCACATTAAAGTGGTGGCAGAAAAGAGAAAAAGAGAGCTCATGTACCATTCCCATTATCCAGCTGGTGGAGGTGGGTTGTGTCCTCTGGCTCATAATCAGAAGTATAAGGTGGGAATCCTGGAGAATCTGAGAAGCGAGGGCTGGGGGTGGTTTCCAAGGGACCTCCGCCTGATGGCAGCTCCGGAGGATCATTCCATAGCGTTGGGAAAGGTCCTTGGGGATATTCTGCAGGAAAAAGCAAAAATGTCTGGTTAGTCTTTTGACCATCCAGTCCAAGGCTCCCACCATCTTTCCAGTAAAGTTTCAGTAACATTTATTTATTTATGACATTTATATGCCATCCTTCTTACCTCAAAGGGCACTCAGAGTGGCTTACAAGTTATATGAACATACAATATATTATATTATTAGCATAGCACAATACTAGCATTATGTATTACTATATTGCAGTATACCACTACACTGCAATATTATTAGTAATATTACATGTAATATAAAATATATAATTATTAAAATATTATATTGTATTATTATTATATTGTATTACAATATTATGATCAATATTATATGTAAATACAATATATTATAATTATTAGCATAGCACAATATTAGTATTATGTATTACTATATTGTACTATACCTCTACACTGCAATATTATTAGTAATATTACATGTAATATAAAATATATAATTATTAAAATATTATATTGTGCTATTATTATATTGTATTACAATATTATGATCAATATTATATGTACATACAATATATTATAATTATTAGCATAGGACAATATTAGTATTATATATTACTATATTGTACTATACCATTTTCTACATAGGCAGGCAGCAACTGAATAGACAGCAAAGAAGAGGGAGCATTGCCCTCTTCTGGACAATGTCTTAAGAACTCTTCAGCCATTCCATAGTAAATCTGAAATCTACAGCAGCATCTAGTGGTATGCTTAAATCATTATCATTTCAAAAAGTTACTTCATCTCTTGTCTTCCTCCCTCCCTCCCTCCCTCCCTCCCTTTTTGTTCTGAGGACAGTTATGTCCCCACATGGCTTGCCATGTGTACACAGAGGTGGGTCCACATTTACGAATTCTCATATCAGTGGGATTTCGCCATACATCCATGTTCAGTCAGCTTCTTTCGGATTTTCTTTAAAAGGGTGAAATCTGTCCCCTTTTGGTTGCTGCCTGGATTCCCCCATGCAGCAACCAGCCAGGCTTTAAAGCTGCAAGGCCATTCAGTGCTAATCAGGCGAGCATTTGCAACATTCACACTTGCCTCAAGCAGACAAGAGTTCTTTCTCCCACCCTGGACATATCACATTCCATTGTTGCCTAGTTTGCCATAGACCTCACAACCTCTGAGGATGCCTGCCATAGATGTGGGCAAAATATCAGAATTGAATGCTTCTGGAACATGGCCATACAGCCTGGAAAACTCACAGCAACTCAGTGATTCTGGCCATGAAAGTCTTTGACAACACATTGTCCCCTTTTCTTTATAACTTACTTCCCTCACAAGTGCATCTTTTGGGTATGTTTTAAAATACTATACACAATGTTGTTCGCATCGGCAGCAAATATGAGGGTCTGGGAGCAAATTATGTCTGGCCCACACATGATGGAAATGGAGAGTAAGACATGCCTGAAAAGCCAGAGGCTAAAATTGAATCTCCACCATGAAAGCCTACCCAAAGGACATTACACTGTAGTTTAACATAATAATGAACATAATTCAACATTTAAAATCTATGTACATTCAGACATCTACATTTGCTGTGGTTAGAGGTGCAAGACTCCCATGAAAGGGGAAAAATGTGAAGAAGAAGAAGAATAAATCTTTATTTATATCCCGCTTTTCTCCCTAAACAGGATCCAAAGCGGCTTACAACATTATATAAAAGACCATACAAAACAATATGCATATAAAAACAAATTTACAATAAGAAATAAATAAACATATTTTAAAACATTTGCCTAATACAATTATTGCAGGCAACTCAGCAAGACAGATGATAAATATTAGCATGAGTCAATAAAAGTTAGCCTTCCTGTCATTACAGCTAAGTGTCTTCATCAAAAGCTTGTGCGAGCAGGAAGGTCTTTAGCTGCTTTTTAAAAGATGCCAGGAAAAGGACTGTTTTAACCTCCCTGGGGAGGGATTTCCAAAAAGTTGGAGCGGCCACCGAGAAGGCCCTTTCTCTCATCACCTCAAACCGCATTTGCAATTGTGGTAGCAACAGGAGGAGGGCCTCACTAAAAGATCTTAACGTTCGGGCAGGTTGGTATGAGACGATGTGGTCAGATAGGTAAATAGGACCTTGAATCAGGAAAGGACCTTGAATCAGGAAAGGAAGTGGCAGCCAGTGCAATGTTTTCTTTATCTGAGAGAACACCACGCTAGGAATATCTAGGTCCTCCAGCATAACTCTGTGGCCACCTTCCACTGCATGGAAGAACTTAGAGATTCCTAACAAAAACATTTAAGACAAATCAGTAAATAATAAAATCCGCAAAAGTCAAACCCACAAGTGTGGAGGGCCAACTGCAGGTTTTGGCAAGTCATCTCCACACACACACAAAAAGTACAATTTGCCACTTGAATGCCTTCATGTGATACTATTTTTCAGCTTTCAAAAACCTTAAAAGAAAGGTCAGAAGGATAAAGTAAGAATCTACAAAACAAGAAGCACTGGAGGAGAAATCACTTCATGGGCCTCTTATTCCGAATATTCATTAAGGGAAATGCATTATTCTGAATATGTTTAAAAAGAGGGGACCGGAAAAGCCCAATAGAAGAAAGGCAGAAGAAAGTGCCTATTTGTAAAGCACAGGAAAAAGAAAACAGTACCAGAGATTATGTAAAAGAGGAGAGCAAAACAAACACACAGTAACACAAGTGCCTAGGGCCATTATTTTTTCTTACTCAACTGTTCCAGTTCTAGGAGCACAGCTGGGGCAGTTGAGGTGCTGTACTTTGTTTGCTTTTCTGTTGTTGTCTAATTGGAAAAATAAACATGGCAAAACTTGGTGAGGAAAATGTACAATGCTCAAGTGATTTTTTGAAAAGAATCACACTCTTCCAGAACAAAAGATAACCATCATGGCAGGGCACATAATAGTAGAACGAAGTCTTATAGAAAGACAGTTTTGTGTATATTTCAGAGATCTTTCTCTTCCTCACATTCTGCCTCTGCAAGAATACTTTGCACATTATCTTCTGAATATTCTCCATCATATTACTTCACAATATTATGGATTTACTATTTTTTAGCATTGAGAAAAATGACTTGAATAAATGCTGCTGCTTCTAATGTTTGGAGGTAGGGAGGAGACTTTAGGGAAGAACAAAGAAGCAAGAAACCAGGCAGCAGCTGCTCACAATCAACAAGCCCACAGACATTTGCTTTGAAGTGGATTATCTGTCCACACTCAGATAATGTGGGATTTTCTGCCTTGATATTCTGGGATATAGGGCTGTGTGGAAGGACCCATAGTTGACAGATGTCAGCGCACTTGGGTCCAGTTTTTGTTAATCCCTTCTGGGTAATAGGCAGGGCTTCAATTTTTATAATCAGCTCCAGGTGAGATGCAATGCACACCTCTGGTGAGGCAGGGAAACTTTTGGTGGTGCAGTTAGCTGAATTTTGCAAAAATTGCAAAGACACCCAATTTTCAGCCACAGAAAGATGTTGTCTATGTGTTTGTGTTCGAATGACAAGTTGTGAACATTTATGTTTCCTATTTAGTGTCTAATGATGTTACTGAGTTCCATCCCATGACATCATCAGGGACAGTCCTTGGTCTTAGATTTTGCCACGGAGATCTCATAGCCTGTTTAATAGTACATTCTGTTGATTTACTTTCCCAACTAATACCTTGCTATGTTCCTTTCACAGAGGCATGGGCAAACTTCGGCCCTTCGGGTATTTTGGACTTCAACTTCCACAAACAGTAGGCTGTTAGGAATTGTGGGAGTTGAAATCCAAAACACTTGTAGGGCTGAAGTCTGCCCATGCCTGCTTTAATATTTATGTATTCAGGCTTAACTTGTCTTTTCTCTTTTGGGCCTTGGAGACAAAAATGTGGGAAGGGTCGATGGCTACATGGTCATTTACCATTGATTTCTGGCCATATTTTTCATTGCTTCTTCAAAGGAATTGAGGGGCCTTTCACACAGCCCTAGATCCCAGAATATCAAGGGAGAAAATCCCACAATATCTGCTTTGAACTGGGTTATCTGAGTCCCCCTCAATGGACTGTCACCTTGTCGTGGTGAGGGGGCTTGCATGTTCCAATGAACCTGTAGGCACAATGACTGGAGTTGTGCACTCCCAGGAGTGACCGCAGGGGAGGTTCCAGACCAAGCACAGTCCAAAGACCCAAAGATCTCAACGATAGAGGCAGAGGATAACATGGTACATGTTACAACGGCTGTGAAGGCGGAAGAAAGCTGCAACAGTCATCATGTTAAGTATGCCATCAGTGGAACCTCACTCTGTGAAGTCTGTGTGTTGATCAGCTGTGCACTAACCTCCACACATTAAAAAAGCTCACGCATAGGTGTCTTCCAAGAAAAATAAAAACAAACCAATTTAAAGATGGGCTTAAAGCCAACCTTAAAAACTCTGACATAGACACTGAAAACTGGGAAGCCCTGGCCCTTGAGCGCTCCAGCTGGAGGTCAGCTATGACCAGCAGTGCTGTAGAATTTGAAGAGGCACGAATAGAGGGCGAAAGAGAGAAACATGCCAAGAGGAAGGCGCATCAAGCCAACCCCGACCGGGGCCGCCATCCACCTGGAAACTGATGCCCTCACTGCAGGAGAACATACAGGACAAGAATAGGGCTCCACAGTCACCTACGTACCCACTGCCAGTACACCAATCCTACTCGGACAACGAGGGATCACCTAAGTAAGTGAGTAAGTATCTAAGTCCACACTCAGATAATGTGAGATTCTGCCTTGACAGGCAGGGCTTTGTGGAAGGGCCCTGAGAAACCTTTTCTTTCCTTGCGAAGTCAAGATGGTGGCCCCTCCAAGCTAAAGGTGGTGCTGTTCAATGCCAGGTCGGTAAATGGAAAAACCTTCATCATACGAGATCTAATCCAAGAAGAACAAGCCGACCTGGCCTGTATAACAGAAACATGGTTGGACGAGGGGGGAGGGGTTAATCTCTCCCAACTCTGTCCACCAGGTTATTCTGTTCAG